ACGCACACACTGGCACCACAGAGCGAGTTATAATTACTCTCTCTCCCCCTCCCTCCCTCCCTCTCTCTCTCTCTGAGTCTCTCTCTCATCTAAATGCTAATGCAGTATCTAACCTTTATGCAGCGGAGCTAAGCTAACAATTGGCTTTGACTGCTGGGTCCTCTTTAGCGTTGAACTATACGGCAATTAACAGACGGACAACAGAGAGAGAGAGAGAGAGAGAGAGAGAGAAAGGGAGGATCATGACTCTTCATTGTGCGAATGATGACAACGTCTTTGGAAAATATCAAGTTTCAACAAAGATGGAGAAAGTTCGGTCTGTGAATGTTCAGTTAGAGTTCAGACAATTATAATGAAGTTTTGAGGGGCGCCGCATTCACGCCATCCAACCTGATAATTGCAGTCTAGTCTATTAAGACTCCGTGCACCAGCCGCCACAAAAAAAGAAAATAAAAATCAACACACAACAAAAACTTAATGAGTTAAGTCCAGGTATGGTTCTCCCTAGAGGTTAGATTCTCTGCCTGAGCTTGGCCCTTGGCCTGAAGGCGAGTTGGACCAGGATCCCACACAGCTAGCAGCTCCCACCTGTCACTCAAAGAAGCCACGCCCCTAATTCTAAATCCCTTTAAGCCTTTACATAATGCAAATGTTGAGTTGTCTAAAATGTCAACCCGTACAGTCGTCATGAAGAGAGAAATGAGCAAAACTTTTGGCTAGAGTTGGACATTTAAAACACGGGGCTCGATGGGGACTGACTCGCTTTTGCAGCCAAGCCTCAAGTGGACGCTCGAGGAACTGTGGCACTCGTGCCAAGAACTGTAAAAGAAACTCTATCCAGTTTTCCTCTGGATAAATTCAGGGAGCCGTGCAGAAAAGAAATGGTCAAAACTTAAAGTGTCACTACACAACACCAGGTCCATAAAGAAAAAGTTCCCTGAGTTTGGTTCAGGCAACCTTTAGACCTGACCTCCACCCCATCATGCACCTCCGGGAGCAGGGATGTCAAATATTTCTTAATTAGAGTGTGTTTTATGGGTCAGTGTGTGTGTGTGTGTGTGTGTGTGTGTGTGTGTGTGTGTGTGTGTGTGTATGTGTGTGTAGTTGTGTTGTGTGTGTTTTGGTATTCAAGGTCCGACCAGCGAGTATCAGTATTCTGTAACTGTATTCATTCACTGTTTTTCCTCGACCAACCAGACCCCAATTACTGCTGCCAATCACACACTTTCTCATTCATGCACACACACACACACGGACACACACACACAGACGCACACACACGGCCAGTCCCGCTGTGTGAAACTCTGGATAAAAGTCACACACACACAAACACTCCCTCATTCTCTTAGTTTCACCACGTTATTAATTTAAGAATAATAATTAAGAGCATCGTCTGCATGACCTGCGTGTGCATAAATGTGTGTGTGAGTGGATTAATCGAAATCAAGGATGAGTCTCAAGTCTTTAATGAAAACCATCGGGCATTCAATGCAAATCGCCTCACCTCATTAGGCGCGCGCACACACACACACACACGCACACACACACACACACACACACACACACACACACACACACACAATATTAAAGCATTATGTCAGAATAAGAGTGGAGAACATTGTTAGCGACCTTGCAGACCTTCACACTGCCTGGAGGCCCTGAAACACACACACACACACACACGCACACACACACACACACACACACACACACACACACACACCTGTAGGCTTGTGTCAGCTTTATTCATCAGCCCTCACAGTGATGTTGTTTACATTTTCTCACAGGGCAAAACTCAGAAACACACAACCATAAACACACAGACACACACAAAAACACACACACACACACTGCACAAAACGCTGGCATGCCTACAAAGAATGTCCATCCAGTTTCGCCCAGTTTGTAAAATAGTCCTGAAACTATTTAGACATATTTTTGTTCACATGAACAGTTGAACATTTAAAAGTCTTCAAAGTCTTAGAGTGATCGTGCATGAAGAGACAGAAAGTCTTGGATGGTGCTGTAGTACTCCAAGTTGGTCTTGGTCTCGAGGTATTTATGGTCTTGGTCTTTTCTCTTTCTTGTTCTTGGTCTTGTCTTGTTCTCGGAGCACTCGGGTACTTTTTGGTCTCGGTTAGTGTGGTCTTGACTACACCACAAGTCTTAAAGGTACAGGGTCAAGTGGGAATGTAGGGCTGAAAAGAAACGTGGACTCTAACCTGAGCTCACATCCCTCATTAGACCCAAAGACTTGTGGTGCTTGGACAAATATTCTTCCTTTTAGTGTACAACTGCTGGGAATGGGAGGTAATTCATGTCGTTTCGATACATGACCTTTAGTTAACTAACGTGAAAACTGACTAAGGACAATAAAAAGAAGAAAGAGAACATTTCTGCACAATCCCTTCTTGTTTCTAATATTGATGGAACAATTTCTCACTTCCCTGCCTCTCTCTCTCTCTCTCTCCCTCTCTCTATCTCTCTCCCTCTCTCTCTCTTTGTCTTCCTCTCTCTCTTTCTCTCTGTCCCCCTCTCCCCCCCCCCCCCCTCTCTCTCTCTCCCCGTCGTTCTTCACCTGATAACAATCACAATCCAAAATTCTATTAACTCTTTTCACCTCCTCGGCTCGTTATTTGGCACGCCTCGTCAGTGGAACAATGGTGGAAACACAACCCTGGGATTGGTCCTGCAGTAATTGTAGGTCTCATTTGCATGTTATTAAAATGTTGTATGCACGTTTGACCCCCTGCTTTCTGATTGCATTAAGGCTTAACTGTGTTTAAGCAAGGTTGTTTTTTTTGTGTCGTTATTCCCGCACTAAGAGAGGTGAGCAGGTCGAACAACTGATGAAGGTATAATAATGACACGCGGATGGAAAGGGCTATTTTCATGGAACACAGCGGGGGGGACATTTAAAGACAGACTGACAGAGCTGGTAATGAGGAAGTGAAAAATCCTGCAGTCCACTAGAGGCTGGCTGCAGGAGCCCAGGAAGTCACATACACACCCATTCTAAAAAGTCTGTTTTTACAGCAGAGATTAACATGTTAACAGTCTGGTTCAAAAAACCAAATAGGTCTGATTATCTCATTTCTCGATTGACACACACTGTACAAGGGGTGAATGTTTTGATGACTCATCAGTTTTGATTTGATGAAGGATAAGAGTTATTCACAATAAGGCGTGTAGCTGACCTGATGACAGGCGGGCGCGGTGTAACGGTTTGTCAGGAGGCTTAAAAACACGATATGGGCAGTGACAGCAAGAATCAGCTCAGCGATTACAAGCGGACAAAATGAGTTTCCTCTGAAGGGTGTCTGGGCTCAGAGTTAGGGAGAGGAGCTCAGACATTCCAGTGGGAGTTCGAAGTAGAGCCGCAACTCCACAGCAAAGGAGCCAATTTAGGTGGTTTGGGCATGCCTCCTGGACACCTCCCTTTGGAGGTTTTCCGGGCACACCGGAGGAGAGCAAGAGCTCGCTTGAGGGATAATTGATCCCAAATCTAAACCCACATGTTCTGCCAAAAGAAGGGTCCTTTAAACTCCTTCTGGCCCTCAGAGTAACAGCACTACTATAGGGACTATAGGGACACACACACACATACACACACACACACACACACACACACACACACACAGATCCTCAAACAGTGTGTAATAAGCTGTTGTCGATAGCACCTTGCAGCTACAAACATTTACAATTAGAGCGCTCGTTCTGCGTTTGTGTTCGAGAGAGCCCTGGTTAAAGGTTAATTCCCGTTAATACTGACTGATAAACCAGAGCTGACTTATCGATCGCCCCTCTCTCTCTGCCTCTAACTCCCAACCTTCTGTTTCCATTTATGTTTAGTCCTACCCTCATCCTCCTCCTCCTCCAACACCTGTCTACAGACTCCCAACACTCCCCCCATCGCTCGCTCGCTCGCTCTCTCCCGCAGGACTACTCCCTCTCTCTCTCTCTCTCTCTCGCTCTCTCACTCAGTTTCCATCAGATCTTCTCCAAGCAGAAGAGGAAAGGACACCAAAGTAGAGAGAACAGGGAGGGAAATGTAGATAGAAATGAGGCAAACACAACGATGACACCTTCAAGAGAAATATCAACTTGATTTGGAGATTGAGAAGAGAAACAAAAACGTCTGCATTCTGATATTCATAAGAGAGCAAATAAGGAAATAAAACCAACAAACTTTAAACTGTGCTTTCTGTTTCCATGTCAATGTTTGCATGCCCCTGCAATGCCCCTGTGTGTGTGTGTGTGTGTGTGTGTGTGTGTGTGTGTGTGTGTGTGTGTGTGTGTGTGTATATACAAACTGCCTTCATATTCAGCATGCAGGTGAAACTGTCTTCTATAAGAGCAGGCTGTTTGCACCTGGAAGTGTGTCGATGAGAGGCCACTGGGTCCGGGTGTGTGTGAGTGTTTGGTCAAGCTTGTCGAGCAAATTGTTCTTATGCTACAAAAAATAAAATACCAGCCATGTGCAATGCTACAGTCGTTTTGCTCTGTTGTGAGTGTTGCATCGGAAAGCGTACCGATCCGACCAGAAAGGGCAGAGCCAGAAACACTGCAGTCTGTTGATTGGTTCAAAGAATTGTCACTTCCTGTGTGATGGTGATAATAAAGGACAAACACAAAACATGGCATGTGTAAATATCCAGTGGGTTTTCGAGAAAATATTTCAAGGCTGATTTTTTTTTTCTTTTACGACTCATGCCAGTGCATAGCAACGCCCCATGAACGACCTCGGCGGTGCAGACCTCTGCTAGACGTCCTCCACTGTTCCCCTTTGTTCACTGTGTCGCGTTCTTCTTCTTCATTGATTTTATTGGCGGGCTACACTGTCATGCTATTGTAACCCATATGAAATGTAGGGCTACTAAACCCATATATGTTGTTTAGATATGTGCAGTTGCCCATGTTCCCCAGTAGAGGGCGCTCTCCGCTGAGCAGCAGCTTTGTGACCTGTCAATCACCCTGTGACCTGTCAATCACCCTGCAGACGTGAGGTTCACAGCCACGAGCAGGCGGAACTTTTCCCGGTATAAATTGCCCTAAAATAGTTGAAAAACCTCGATTAATCCAGTCAAAAGAATGTTTTGATGTTAATAAGTTCACTCTTTTAGCAGAACACAAGTTGTGAGCCTGAGGAAGATAACTTTCGTCGAGTTATTATTGTCTTTATGAATCTCCGGTGAGTTTGAGCCTGTGTTAGCATGTTAGCCTAATGTTTTGCTCTCTGGTGAGAAAAAAGGACCATATAATAATAATAATAATAATAATAATAATAATAATAAATTAAGATTTATAAGCTATTTAAGTTCAGATACTTTTACTAAAAAAAAAAAACAGATTTATGAGTTGGTTTTCCTATGTTACCACTGTACTTTATATGTTTAAAAAAGATTGCTAATGCTAGCGCGGGATGCTAACGCTAATGGCTAATCTACAGTATTAGTCTGGTTAGGAATATGATAACTGTATGCTAGAAGCTAGCTAATGCTAATTGCTAAGCTAATGTATCATTCAGAGCAGCAGCACAGACAGTGAAACCTTAAAGGAGCTCTTCACCTGTTTTGTTGACATTAAAACACTTTATATAAGTGTAATTAGCCACTTTAAAGGTTTTAAGGTACAATTAAAATGTGGTTTAAATGATTTTGGTTGTTAAAATGCACATAGTAGTTATAATTTTATTCATTTTCATGTTTTAAAATGCAGTATATTAAAATCTTTATTTAAAAGAGTTTAAAGAAGGGAAATATAATGAGTGAAGAGTTTAAAAGAGATAAATAATTCATTTATTTGCTAAAATACCGTGACATATGGTGATTCATTGCAAGTCAGTATATTTTTTTTGTGATACATAGCAATGTAGATGTATGTATTTAGGTTTTTCCTTGGATTTTGGTGATACATTGAAGAATACAATGATTGAAGTAGAAGTTAATGAGGTCTCATGTTAGAAACAGAATAAGAACTAGATAATTTACAATTCTGCACTATTTGTGTAGGTTGTTTTTTTCTTAAGTACCAGAACATGCTGTAGATGAACTTGATGGCGAGCCCAGCCTATGAATCTGAGGGGAGTCGATTACGCAGTGTGGCCAGCTGCAGGACCTGCTCAGAGGACGTCGGATTGCTTGATTCATTCGATTCCAGATAAGACACGTACACGCTTATTAACCTACCCGGGTAGTAATAGTAGACATTGACATTGAACACACACATCTGGATTTTTCCCCGAAGTTAAACTCTTTTGAACTCCTTTTTGCATGTTGAACTTTTCTCACAATTCCTCTTCATAGAGGAGCATTCGAGCTGGGAGTCCAACTCGAAAAGCACAATTTCTTTTGGTTTTGTTTTACTTTCACAGAACTCTATTTTTTTTCTATGTTTATACACACAGCACTACTTTAAATGTTTATTGATGCTGATAAAGGCATTAAAAAGTGTCAACTGTTCAAACCAACACCAACTCCTTTTGTGAGTCATTCAAGGTGCATACCCTTTTGGGACCTGGATTGATGTTAGTATCTTATCTATCCAAACAGGTTAGGACCACAGGTGCTACACTATTATGTAGCTGATGTTGCTATCGCCAAATGACTTACACCTGGCTTACCATTTAATGAGTTGGCTGTGGAAATGCGAGCAAGAGGGTCTACAATCCCAACCCTTCTTAACCACAAGGTGGGAACGGGGCTTTATGGTGACTCTAGTGGATCTAGTTGAAGAGTCACTGGTTGCCTTCTGTTTGATGTTATCATTGATGCATGAATAGATATCTATGGATGGGTAGGAGTGTCTGTGCATATATATGTGAGAAAGGTGATAGTTGTAGGGTAGCCTATGGGTGTTGTTGAGGGTGAGGGGTTAGCTGCTGATGTTGGGGTTTCAGACCGGAGCTTGACTGCAGACTGTGTGGTGGAAGGAAGGACTAAGAATGGCGATTTGACTATAACTTATTGGCCAGGCCCCCGACAGTGGCAGTCCCCAGACTGGTGGTCACAGCCTCCAGCTAGCTGTGTGCCTGTAAATGTTGAAGAGGGCTACCAGGCTTCTAGGGGAGGCAGCCCCTCTCCCGCAAGGAACATCGATTAATTTAGAATATCAAAGTGGGCCGTGTCACTCTTGAGATGATGCAAATGCAAATACAAAGCCCTGTTTACAGAGACTTGTACCTCAGAAGACTCAACAGAAGCTTGACAACGTGCTGTCATCACCGCGCTGTTATCATGTTAGCATGGCTGGATGCTAGGCAGCTAATGAGTGTGAAACAGATGCTCGAGGAGAGCCGCGTTAGTCGGGAGCTTTGGGTGGGATGTAATAGTTTAATGAGGCTAAAAGCCGTCCGCCCACACACAGATGTAAGAACAAAATCACATCCTTATGCTTATTCCATGCCAGTGACCTCCATTATCTAAATTTAGAAGAGGAGATTTTTTTTCATGCTTGAGCTCGTTTGTGTGCGAGAAAGAGAGGAAGGGACTTGATTTCAGAGAATTGGACGCGTTCAATCATCTTGATTTGTTTACATAATTACATTTTCAGATCTTAACGCTACTTCAAGCCCGTCCAAACCTCCATAAAGCCCTCTGATAAAAGTTGTGTGTGTGTTGTATTTCACTTCTTTGTCAGCCTCCGATCCAGCTTCAGACTCAAGGGCCACTTTCCAAAAAGCTTCTCAAGGCTTTTGATGCCTTTTTTGTGAAGATTGCTACCTTTGAGTAGCCGTCCAATCAAATCTACACCTGCTGCCCATCTCTGCCTTTTATGAAATTCCCTTTTTTTAGTTGTACGCAGTTCAAATATCTTACAATTTTCAGAGGGACAGAAGTTGGAGCCTTAAAATGGCAGAGTGAAACAAGGTCATTCTTTAAGTTTTTAAAGGTCCTTGTTTCCATCGATGTTTCTCCTTTGGATTGAAAAGTGTGCCCTTTTTTTTTTTTTTTTTTACTTCAGCCTTCATCCACAAAGAGCAAAATTCAATCCCAACTTGTGTAGAATATTCAAAGGCTCCTTTTAAAGAAGTGTTTGTTTGGATCAGGAAAGAGATCTGAAAGGTTGGCCAGCTCATGTTTGGTGTCTGTGATCCAAACTCTGCAGGATGTAACCTGACGTTCCATTTTCTCTTCATTATCGTACATTAAAATCGTATATTAATCGAAAGGAAGTCCAACAGATCTTAAGGGATGATAAAAAAGGACATTGGGTCATTTGTTTTGTGAAAATCTCGGCCTTGTCTGGTTAAAGATGGTAAAAGCAAAAAAAGTTGCAGAGAGGTTTTGGAAAAACGAGAGTTTGAGGAGAGAGTGAAAATCTCCTGCGGCTTTTACAACTTCACATATTTCTGAAGCACAAACCCTCGACCTGACGGAGAGCAGAGCTGTCCTTCACTGTGTGTGTGTGTGTGTGTGTGTGTGTGTGTGTGTGTGTGTGTGTGTGTGTGTGTTCGTTCGTTCGGTGTGTGTGTCCATGCATTGGCTGTGAGGCAGCCAGCACTGTGACAGGGAGGAGAGTGGGAGGATGTTTCTGTCAAAAGTTCACCGCATTGTGTGTGTGTTTGTGTATGTGTCTGTGCGTATGACCGCGTGTGTGTGTGTGTGTGTGTGTGTGTGAGTGTGTTTGTGTGAGTGTGTGTGTTAATGTGTGTTGACCACTGTTGAGAGCTGTCAGAGGGTGACAAGTGGAGGTGAGGAGATGTCCCCACGGTGTGTGTGTGCGAGAAAGTGAGCCAATGCTCTTATGTGTAGGCCTGAGTATTTCTATGTGTGAATGTGTGTGTGTGTGTGCATGTGTGTGTGAGATAGAAGCCGTGGTTACTGGGCTGTGTTGAAGATTGTTCCAGCCGACCACCTCGATCCAGACCAGCTGTCAATCATTTTGGTTCCTCCCCCTGATGACACACACGAACAGAAACTGAACCCTAGAAACACAGTTTTATTTTATTGTAGCAATAAGCAGAGGTGGGCACCGTTAGTGGAACAAAAAAAGTGTGACTCCATGAACCATTAATCCATTAACAATCACTCATCATTATCACTTTGATATCTGCTGAATCTTTTTTTAAAGTGTATTTTGAGATGTGACAGTGGATAGAGTCAGACATCAGGGGGAGAGAGGGACTATCCTCTGAACATGGGGCTCACGCACTAACCACTAGGCTACCAGCACCCCCTGCTGAAGTCAAATTTAACGTTAACCGATATTGTTAAAAAAACAACAGCCAACAGCACGTCTGAGAGTAAGAGGCCATGATGCCTCCTCTCTGTGTTTAGTCATTATCAGAGCTGTTTAAATAACCGCTGTTCTGTGTACATCACAAGTGCTATACATTCCTGTGAGTCCGACCACGTTAACCAATTCAAGATCCGACCGACCCAGCAGCTACAATCTATGCTTCTGTCAGACCACCGACAAACCAGCGACCTTCAGACTCTGCTTTAGAGGCAGTACATTTATTTTCCACCATGACGATTACGTTTTCAACTTTCATCTCTTGCACCAGGAGCTTGCACTACAGATTTGTGAAGCCCTTTGTCCGTCAGCCCGTCTGTGAAGAGATCGATAAATAATGCGAAAAAAATAAAAGGAAAATCAGAGTGCTTTGACTAAAATGCCAAGTTGCACACAGAGATCTTGTTTGAGATGAGGGTGGCTGCAGGTGATTAGCATCTCTGACTTGGAGACTCATTAATCAAAGTCTTCACTCTGGCCACATGCCTGCATTATAAATGAACACACACACACACAGTCACACACACACCGGTCTGTCAATATTACGGCCCCGTCTTGTCTCGTATTTCTCCGAGCTGACTGCAGATCTATAAACCTCAACACGGAGACGGACAGGACGGAGAGAAATAAAGAGACCCTGACTGAAAGTTATCTTCAGCCAAATTTCAAATTTAAACAGCATAACTTTCAGGGTGATTACACGACCTGTTCGTTGAACATCGCCTCAGATCACTGTCTAACAAGAGACTTTCATTCCCAAGTCATTCAAGTCGCTGCCCGTTAACAAGCAGAGTTTATTTTCAAGTGTTAAAGCCGTGTAGTGGTCATAGAAGTAATGAGTTGTGTCTGTTTGGAGCAAAGGAGGAGATGTGATCTTGTTGAAGAGCGTCGACAACACAGCTTGTTGTCTTTGTTTTGGGGGAACTGAAAGCGTCTGATTATGTGCACGATGCGACTCGATATCCAACGCTCATGTGCTGTCAGGACACATGTTTTAGTGGGTACAGATTCCAGAGATATGAAGCGTTTGAAAGAAGTCCAAGAAATGACTTCACAGAATGCCAAATGCACCAACATGTGCTCAGTTTAACCACAACAAGTGTATACATCGATCCACGTTCCAACCCTCACCTATGTTCACAAGCCATGGGTAGGGACCGAAAGAATGAGATTGGGGATACAAGCTGCCTCCCTTTGGAGGTTTTCTGGGCACGCCTCACTGGGAGGAGACCCCGGGGTAGACCCAGAGTTCGCTGTAGGGATTATACATCCCGCCTGGACTGGGAACGCCTCAGAATCCCCCAGGAGGAGCTGGAAAAGGAGAGGGAAGTCTGGGTTGACTTACTGCGCCTGCTGCCACCGCGGCCCGGCCTCAGATAAGTGGAAGAAAATGGATGGATTGTTTACATAAAGGATGATCTTTCCCTGAACATGTTCGGCCCAAAACCTTACCGATCCTTAACCGTGCCAATGTTTCCTTAAAAAAGCTGTAACGTTTCTGCAGACATGATCCGTAACACACTCATAAATACCGTTATTTGAGTTAGAAAGATAATTTCTTTGCAAGCAGAAACACTTCATGATCCTCCCTGTCTGTTCAGATATTCTGTTTTTAAGTGATTTTCCCCTGCAGACATTTACATTTAAATATTCTATAAATTCTGACTTTGAGCTGAAGGTGCCTTTAGGTGCTGTTTGTTTGCTTGTTGGACCAAGGTCACTGACAGGTGAGGGAGAGAGAGAGAGGAGGTAAAAATACATCACAGTTTAACATTACAGTCGGAAATAGGCCAATGACAGGCTCAGGGGAGAACACACACACACACACACACACACACACACACACACACACACACACACACACACACACACACACACACACACACAAAACCAGGACAATGATGTTAGGTAGAGGGGTAAATGTCTGTCAGAGGGTGATGCACCTGTCTAAAGCTATAAACACACACACACACACACACACACACACACACACACACACACACACACACACACACACACACACACACACACTAGACACACTGGAGCCCCTGGGTGTGTGTGTCCTTGCTCTCCGGTAGGGGTGGAGGCTGACCTGGTTTCAACAATATGACCTCAGGTGGTTCAAACTCATACACACACAAAAAAAACCCACACAC